TCCCATGGACAAACATCTGTCCGAGTGCTATCTTGTTTTTTCAGAACTTTTGGTTCTTCAGTTTCCCACGGACAAACATTTGCCAGAGCACTATCTTGTTTTTGGAGAATGTTTGGTTCTTCTGTTTCCCACGGGCAAACATTTTCTTTAGTGCTATTGTCCTTTTGGGCAGCCTTTGGTTCTTCAGTTTCCCACGGACAAACATCTGTCTGAGTGCTATCTTGTTTTTTAAGAACTTTTGGTTCTTCAGTCTCCCACGGACAAACATTTTCTTTGATACTATCGTTCTTTTTGGCAGCCATAGTGTCTTCAGTCTCCCAGGGACAAACATTTGCCAGAGCACTAGCTTGTTTTTTCAGAACTTTTGATTCTTCAGTCTCCCATGGACAAACATCTGCTTTTGTGCTGTCTTGCTTTTTCAGAACTTTGGGGATCTCTGGCTTTCCTGATTCTGGTTCCTCTATTTCCCATGGACAAACCTCTGCTGGCTTTTTAAGTTCTTGAGACATTGTTTTGGTCGCTGCAGTTTTTTCAGGTAGTGCTGTTTCCCAGGGGCATACATTAACTCTTGTGCTGTCTTTTCCATCAGTATGTTCTGAAGTAGCTTCCAAAAGTGAGGTATCTATTTCTAAATCTTCTGGATTGTCTTGTTCACTTTCCCAGGGACAAATATGTACCTTTATTGTCATTTGTGGAGTTGATTCTGTATTTGTCTGCTCCGTGTTACTGCCTTCCCATGGGCAAATATTTTCCTTGATTGACGGGGGATCAGGGAAATCCCATGGAGAACTTGCTGCTTTGTTTATGTTTTTACCCCAGTTTGAGGCAGGTGATATTGTATGGTAATGTTGCTCATTACTTGATGCACCAGGATAGATTGCAGCTTTCATGACCTCTCGCTGAAGGGGCACTGTCAGTGTTCCCCTGTTTTCTAAAGGATTTAAATTTTCGTATACACCTTCAACCTTGTCCTGCATATCCCACGGACAAACATTAGCGTATTCATTAGTTTGTATTACTGAAGGCTGGGGAGACTCTGAAGTCTCCCAGGGACATATGTTTAATATGCCTTTTAAAGGCTGCTGTGCCTGTAAATCTTTAGAAAGGATAGTGTGAGAAACAACTGGAATATCCTGAGATTCCAAAGGACCCACTTCTCCATAACCACTTCCTCGTCTTCTCATGTTCGCTTGCTCTTGAGATTCCCAAGGACATACGTTAGATCGTTCAGATACCTGTGATTCCCAAGGGCAGACATCTGCTTTGATGCTCTGCTGCTTCTTTAGTCCCTCTCCACTAGCGATATCCCGTGAACATACATCTGTATGAGGAACATTACGGGTTGGAGTAATTCGATAACTACCTCTTCTGTGAGTTGAAGGGGTTCTGGAGCTGCTTATAGAACTTATACTACTACGTTTACTACTCTGCCTCGACAAAAGCACGTGTTCATATGTCCCATCTTTTTGCATATCTTCTGAATCACATGGATAGATAGAAGATTTTACAATTACAAGCCTTCGTGGGCTTCTGTCAGAGGAATCCCCAGAAGAGAGTCTGACTGCATTCTGCTTAACAAGACATGGTTTTCCATCTGCTGTTGTCATGCTTCTTTTCTGGAGTGACCTCTTTTCAATGCTAGGATGTCTTGACCTTGGTGTTGTTGAAGCACTTTCCTGACTTTTTTGCGAAATAGAATCTTCTCTATTTAAGCCTCCATCCTTGCTGGACCTGCTAGCTGCATCAATTGATCCCATCAATGTTTTCACAGTCAGCCACTTAGCGGTTGTAGTGGTGCGGAAAGAGAAAACACGCTGATCCTTTGCAACCTTTGATCTCGGAGAACCAGGTGCACTTGTAGACACGGTAGACTTGGGGGACTCGGTTTCACCTTGTAGGCCTTTGTCCACAGAAGACTTCTTTTCTACAGGTGGCAAATGGTCCCAAGGACAGACAAGTGCAAGTGGAGATGGTGGACGTTTTTCCTCATCATCCCCAGAGTTTGCATACGTGACATGCTTCTGGTTCTTGTCACTTGACTGTTCTGGCTCCACCTCCCAAGGGCAGATTTCAGCCTTGTCAAATGACTCAGATTTGAGAGCACTCCTGGTCTGGTCACTTATAGAAAGGCTTGGCCTCGAACTCACTGTGTTGGCTCTGTTAACCTTGGGTATATTCTCCATAGAATGGCTGGTAGTTGAGGTTAGGCTCCAAGATTTATGAAGTCTGTTGTGATCAGGATGCAAGAGATTGGTATCAATCGTCAGATTCTGGGCACTGGCTGACTTACAGACCCCTGGTGGTATATCCAAGGAGTCTGTCTCAGATCGCTGTGAGGATCTCTTCACAATATTGGCCCTTAATGTGGAGGTGTGCAAAGAGTCTCGTTCCCTGACATAGTGATGATCACTTTGCGACTTACGCATGGATGGTGATGGTGATAGAGATGCTGACTTCATTGAACTTCTGTAACTGATACTGACCGTCTCTGTAGACCTTCTAAAAGAGTCAGAATGATTCCCACTTCTACTGCGGAAGGATCCATCTTTCTCTTCACGGCTGCACTGGCGGCTCATCGTTTCTGGGATTTCAGCTATGCGTTTTATAAGGGATCTCCCCAGTGTACATCGAGAGCTTCGTTTTTTAGGTAGATGAGGGTTGTTTGCAGCCATCTTCTTTGTCTTGTGGACTTCTAACTGGGCATATAATTTCTTCAGTTCATCCTGATGCATATGAAGAAAGGAGGGAATTGATGAGATGGAGGTTGAAATGATTGAGAAGAGGAAAAGACAAGGAGAGTCAGGACAGGTAAAGAGTAGTACGAAGAACACAGTTCAGGTTAAAGCAAAGGATTGAAGGGTGGAGAAAGTTCATAGAAATATGTTCAGTCTACAGTTAACTGTATTTACGGTTACTTTATGATTTCATTTATAACATATTTACCATTTGTTTATTGAATCTACATGTAAACATAATTAAAATTAAGGGATAATTATTTTTTCTTTTTTAAATGTAGCCTTTGGAATTTCTTCCATATTATGTACATTATGCCCTACTGCAAAGTGATAACATCGTTCTGTGGGGACAACAGTGTTTACCCGAAAGTCATCAGGGTCCACACTGTGCTCACTCCATGCAGAGCGAAAACTGCTGTTGAGGTAGGAGCCAGAGCGCCGCAGATCAACTTCATCTTCATACACCTCTGCTGCAATCTCCTCTCTCCCAGGTTTGGATACATAAAGGAACTGTGGAACACATAGGAGAGGAGCACATGTAAGATAACTGGTTTTGACTAAACACAGTCCATAAGTAATAATTACACATACAGAAAGAAGTCTTGAACATTGTTTAACTAGAAGGACTGATTGGAAGGCTTTCCACTTCAGGTGAATTCTACTTCATTTATATAGCACCATATCATAACAACAGTCACCTCTATGTGTTTTATATCGTAAGGTAAAGAACCTACAATGATAAAGAGGAAACCCCAACAATCAGACTAACTCCTATGAGTAAGCACTTGGCAACAGCGGTGAGTTCCACCAACATTTTATGATATCTAAGTTACGGAGCCCCACAGGGGACATGGGAGAAAAAAAAAATTAAGATGGACTTTTGCGAGATCTCTCAAAAGTTTTGCGAGATCTCGCAAAACTAACTCGGGATTTCGCAAAAGTTTTGCGAGATCTTGCAAAACAAACACGGGATCTCGCAAAACTTTTGCGAGATCTCGCAAAACAAACTCGGGATCAAAAGTTTTAGCCGCATTCTTCGGCCTTCGACCGCCCGTTAGCTCGAAGCTAACGGGAGGTCGAGACCTACTACAGCCGGGAGGAACACCGCTTTCCCGGCACATTGTGCCTCGACCTCCCGGTCGGCTTCGAGTCGGCATCCGAAGAATGCGGCTAAAACTTTTGTGAGATCTCGCAAAAGTCTGTCTTAATTTTTTGCCCATGTCCCCTGCGGGGCTCCGTACTAAGTAAATGTAGCATGTTAGCTTAATACATATTAGCATTTAGCATACATTAGCATACTGGCTGGCTTTCAAGCAAAACTAGACCATGCTGAGTTAGCGGTTATCATTAGCATTATATACCGAGGTCTTATATTTAACATAAAGTGGAGTTACATGCTTAAAGTAGTTAAAGATAAAGCTAACAAGTTTGAGAATACTGTGAGATATCATTTAGATTTTTACAGCATGATATCATCCAATCAGAAAATAAGTGGTTTGAGTCCCAGCTACTCTGAATGTTGAAATATCCATGGGCAAGATACTGAACACAGGGTTATCCCTGATGCATCCATGTGAGTGTGTATGTGACTGCTAGACAATATATTAATGTGTGTGATTGGGTGAATGAGGCTTGTAGTAAAAAAATTTTTGCCAAGGGCAGTAGAAAAGTACGGAGCCCCGCAGGGGACATGGGAGAAAAAAAAAATTAAGACGGACTTTTGCGAGATCTCGCAAAACTAACTCGGGATCTCGCAAAACAAACTCGGGATCTTGCAAAACTTTTGCGAGATCTCGCAAAACAAACTCGGGATCTCGCAAAACTTTTGCAAGATCTCGCAAACAAACTCGGGATCTCGCAAAACTTTTGCAAGATCTCGCAAAAGTTGAATTCCAACAATGGCGGCAGCTACTTAGTTGTAATATTACTCTTTCTGGGTCACAAAATACACTTTTAAGATATTTTGAGGCGTGAATGTAGTTGTGTAAACGTCAGATACCTGCTCGGTTTACAAGACATCACATATTTGCAAAAGTGCTCCGACGTTTTCGGAGATCTGACACCCACTAGCTCGAAGCTAACGGGAGGTCGAGACCTACTACAGCCGGGAGGAACACCGCCGACCTCCCAGTCGGCTTCAAGCTGGCGGCCTCCGAAGAATGCGGCTAAAACTTTTGCGAGATCTTGCAAAACTTTTGCGAGATCCCGAGTTTGTTTTGCGAGATCTCGCAAAAGTTCGTGCGAGATCTCGCAAAAGTCCGTCTTAATTTTTTGTTTCCTCCCATGTCCCCTGCAGGTCTCCATAGAAAAGCGCTAATCCATTTTCCATGACTTTTTTTCTATTCTTACTAGGTGCTGTCAGCGTAAATCTCGTTAAAATGACGTTAACGCGGCAAATCTCCGTTAGCGAGTTAACGCGGATCACCCCGTGCACGGGGCTGCACGGCGCTAACGTGTTAACCAGCTAATTCAATTCAATTCAATTCAATTTTATTTATATAGCGCCAAATCACAACAAAAGTCGCCTCAAGGCGCTTCATAGCCATGCTAACGCATTGACACAGTGCAGCCCCACGCACAGGGCGGTCTGCGTTAACGAGGTTATGGTGTAACGTCATTTTAATGAGATTAACGCTGACAGCACTAATTCTTACTGTATAATTAGTCTACTCTGGCACTATGGACATAAAAATGTGGAATACCTTGGGAACAAAGAGCAGGGCGAGTGTCACAGTGATGGTGACATGGGTGTGTGTGAAGGAGAGCAGAAGCATCCAATCAGGATGAAGAGATGGAAAGGTAAATCTGTGGGAAGCAGAAAATATAGAATCATCCCACGTCAACGTGTATTGGCTTTCTATTTCGTATGGTACACAGACATATTGTTAAGCATGCGATGGGCTTTACTGCCTTTCTTTTCAGACACATTGACCTTAGTGGTCTTGGTTACTGTTTACCGGAACAGGTGGAACAGAGAGGAGAGAAGCAGCTCATTGTGGATGGCGATGCCCATGTAACGAGGTTCATGGAAAGCTGAGGGTACTGGCCTTACAGCAGTCCACAGTGAACTCCCCCAGCACAGGAACAGAAGCTCAGCTGTAGCAGAAGACTTTATGATCACTTGGATGTTCAGGAATACACAGTACAAATGTTGAAACTGGTTTTACTTCACTCTAACAGTAGTTTTGTGGTGCTTTATGTTGTGCGCTAAAGCCCTTAATACTGGTGACAACTTAAAAACCTTTCTTGAATGCAATTCAAAGAAGTCTCATTTAAGCTTATTCAACAGTGAATTTATTTTTTAAGATATATTCTGGTTTCTTATAATTTAATGGCCAGCTATTTACTGATGCATATTTTTTTATTTTTACCTAGAACTTAAGTTGTCAAGATAATCCCAGTGAATTGCTGATAAAGTGATCCTGTGTGCCCCACTGGATTTTATTGTACCAACGCTGCCTTCTACTTTGTTGTCTAATTTATTGCTTTAAGGAATAAGTATAAAAATGGACTTGTAATGAACTATAATAATAAAGGTGTAAACTTGCCCATAGGTGTGAATGTGAGTTCGAATGCTTGTCTGTCACTATGTGTTAGCCCTGTGATAGACTGGTGACCTGTCCAGGGTGTACCCCGCCTCTCGCCCTATGACAGCTGGGTTAGGCGCCAGCCTGATTATGATGATGACACATCTAAAGTAGTATTTACTGAATTCTTAGACCTAAAATGAATCAGATTATCTTTATTATGTCCTTATGCATAAAGACTTAGAGATGAAAGAGGTTTTACTTTCTTTTTACCATAACTGTGCGTAGATATAGACATAGGTACACTTTGAGATTTAATAGAATCACTGTAACAGCTACTGTATGTTTAATGATGCTGTTGATACTCTTAACAGGTTCTTTACATGTAGTTTACTTACCTACAGCCATCATGTAGTCCCAACGGTCAAGGTAACACATGTTGAAGCCCTGTCCATCAGGTGTGTTGGTTGTGATGAAGACTGGAATGTTTCTGTCACGATTCTGCATAACACCCACCGTCCATGCACACAGGAACCAGCTGACTGTCATCAGCATCACTCCCAGAATTCTCAGTAAATGGAGGCTGGACATGTAGGGCATTCTCTGGGCTGTGCGTGACAGGAACACCTTCAGTACTCTGGTCCAAAACAAGAGCAGTATTGGCCCTTAATGTGGAGTATTTGAGTACTAAAGACAAACTGGTGCAACTTGTAGCAAACAGTAAAGTCAGTGACTGAGTGTTGAATTTGATGTCACTTCAATATGAAGTTTCTTGAGAGATGTCTTTGCCTGGAGAGACTTTTGATATCAGTGGAATTAGGCTCAAAATAAGTAATGTAAGACGAATGTTTGCTCTCCACGATAATTGCAGATTTATACAAGCTGGGGAGATCTCTTGGAGCTATTTCTAAACAACTGCAGATTTCAAGATCATCAGTTCAAACAACTGGAGATAAGTACAAGTCATCCAGATGTGTCACCACTTTGCAAAGGTCTGGCAGAAGACCCAAAGGGTGACAGAAGAGAGATTGGTTAGGAAGTTTAGAAACAACCCAGGAATCACTGATTATCACAAGTTATTCAATGTTACCTTAAATAAACAGGCAGATGGTGAAAACTTGGACATAATTGGGTGTTCCAATTGGTTTTGGAATGGATTAAGAAAGTAAGCTAACACATGAACTTCCCAAAGCTCTTTAAGCGTCAACCCTATTGAAAATTTAGAGACTATGCATAAAACCCAGGTTTGTGACAGAACACCAACCAAATTAAATTAACTCTATCAATTTTGCCAAGAAGGGTGTTCAAATCTCCAGCCAAAGTTATTCCAGAAACTTGTTGATGGCTATCAAAAGATCCAGGATCAAGGTGCAACTTGAAACCTGCCAAGTGACGTTTAACCAAATATTAGTGTGAGTGTATGTATGCATTTAGCTTATACGTAGACCTTTGACCTTTGTGGGTTTGAGAAAATCCACAATAAATCACTCAATGTTTATTTGAAAGGACAGAAATCAACAAAGTCTTCCCATTTATGGTACACTCTGGGTGTACAAGTTAGAAAACTTTAGCTGATAAGTATACGCATATAAATTCAAGAGGAACATACTCTTTTTCCCCCAATAAAATTACACAGTCTTAAAGGCAAGTGGTTTAACTTAGTTTTGAAATGAATCATTTTATAGCAAAACAAAACAGACATCTATTGTCCTCCCAGTACTCCAAAAACTCAATTAACTTTTCAATTTTAAATAATAAATAAAAATACTATGTTATGTGGAAACCATCGTATACAAGTCGCTCTTTGACCACAAATAGTGTCTGTATCAAAACATATAAAATATATGACAAATATGCTCAATCTCATATTATTTGATATGAGATTTATATTTGTAGATAATCACTGAACCCAAATGTTATTTAATTATAACTGAATGCAGTTGTGGATTTATAAATAGGCCTAATTTCCTTCCAGCATACTCAGAAAAAGATCATACAAAATATCTTCCAGTAAAATAAACTAAACATTTTACAGTAAAGTTCATGTATTTTTCAAGAAATTGAACATTTATTCAAAGCCATTAACCACTGTGCTTTGATATTTAAGGAGAAGCTATTAAACAGAAGCACTTAATTTTAACTACATTAAATGTTAGTATCGACTACTATCAGTGCTAACCTACCTGTACATCTTAAGTGTGACTGTGCCGTAGACAATGGAGAAACCGAGCATTCGCACCCAGCGGAGCAGGATGCACCTGAAGGTGCTTGGCCTGAAGTACATGATAAAGACCTGCAGAGACAGAGAAAGAAATGCTTAGTAAAAGAAAAACTACAGCTATACACGACCAACCAACAGTTTCTATTGGTGTATAGATAGTTGGCCCAACCAGTTATTAGGTTTAGGGGGCGATCACTTTTTCACCATGTAGGTTTTGGATTTCTTTCCCCTTAATAATAAACGCCTTCATTTAGAAACTGCATTTTGTGTTTACTTGTCTTATCTTTGTCTAATATGCAATTTTGTTTGATAATCTAACAGATTTAAGTGCGACAAACTTATCAAAAAATAGGAGATAAACACACCACTGTATGTACATTACCAGTCAAAAGTTTGGACACACCTTCTCATTTAATGTTTTTTCTTTATTTTTTTTTGATACTTTCTACATTGTAGATACAAACTGAAGACATTGGACATATGAAGCAAGATATATGGAATTATGTAGCGAAGAAAAAATTGATAAATAACTCTAAATATCTCTTATATTTAAGATTCGTGAAAGTAGCCACCCTTTGCTTTGCTGACAGCGCAGCAAATCCTTGGCCTTCTCTCCGTGAGCTTCATGATGTCGTCACCTGAACAGGTTTTTACTTCACAGGTGTGCCTTGTCAGGGTTCATTTGTGAAATTTCATGCCTTCTTAAAGGAGTTGGGACCATCAGTTGTGTTGTGCAAAAGTCAGGTTGGTACACAGCTGACAGCCTATTTGACAACTGTTAGAATTCATATTATGGAAAGAACCAGTCAGCTAATTAAAGAGAAACAACAGTCCACGATTACTTTAAGAACTGAAGGTCAGTCAGTCCACAAAATTGCTAAAACTTTGAGTTCCCCAAACATGCTTCCAGACTGTGTAAGGGCTATTTGACCAACACG